TATATATATAAATGTGTGACGCATTTTGAATGCCTCGGCCTCAACAATAGTACTTATATTTGTATATGTGAAATTCTTGATTTGGACAAGGATAAGCTTGTGATTTTGGATTTTACAGCTGTAGATAAGCATGCCACACCTTTCTGGAAACCTAATCTTAATATAAAATTTTGAATGCATTTGGCACTTAATAAAAATATAAGATGGCTATAAATATATACGGACAAACATTCACCAGTTGTTAAAGCACAATTGCATATGGTTTTTTTTATTTACATTTGCTGTGTGTTTACAGCCATTTTTTTCAACAGAAACATTTAACTAATCCTGGTGGTCATTCTAAAAATATTTTCTTATAATACTCTTAACTAACTCATTTGTTTAAATTATAATTTAAAGAAAATAGAAAATAAATACCATATTAAAGAAAAATAAATATTTTTCATAAATAAATAAATAATTTAGTTTACCATGTTTGAGAAGTAAATACAGTTGTTGCGGGTGAACAAAAAAACATGAATTAAAAATAGACAAATTGCAAAACTTGATGTAATAAACACTAGCACAAAATGGGTCTTTTACGTAGTATATTTTGAGGTTTTTACGTCTGAAAAGGCTCCGACGTTAATACGGGAGACGTAAATTTACGCCGCCTGTCAAAGACGACGTAAATTTATGTCGGAGATGCCTTGTGCCCGACGTAAAAAAGGGCTTTTAAAGGGGAAAAATGAGGCAAGAATTTACGTCGGACTACACCTTGTCCGACGTAAATTTACGTAGGTCAGTGCTAGGTCCGACGTAAATTTACGTCGGAAAAGGTGTAGTTCGACGTAAGTTCTTGCGTTTTTTTTAAAAAAAAATTGGTTATTTTTTGATATACCCAAAACCTGCATATATATAGTCCATAATATAAAACCTAAACCAAGCAGTCCAGAATATAAAACCTAAATCAAGCAGTCCAGAATAGAAATTTAAATTATATTTCAAAATTTAACCCCCGGTGAGAAGCATCACAGAACACATCAAAATGCTTACCAGTGCCGGGTAATACCAAAATTGGAGAAGTAGTCAATCACCCCTTCAATTCCTGAAAACTCTGCTCACAAGCGTCTATCGAAACAAAAGGCTAATCTTTCCGAGTCAGTTGAGTCAAAGGCATTATTATTCGAGAGAAACCCTCTATGAACCTCTGATAGTAACCCGCTAACTCAACAAGACTCCTAATCTCCGTAGTAGTCCTCAGACGCACCCACTAAATCACAGCCTCCACTTTGGATGGATCCACTGCAACCCCCTTCTACCGATATCACATGCCCCAAAAATCTCACCTCGGACAACCAAAACTCACACTTGGACAGCTTGGCATACAACTTCCTCTCCTTCAGCACCTCTAAAACCAACCTTAGATGCTCATGGTGATCCTCCAAAGATCTAGAATACAACAAAATATCATCAATGAAGACCACCACAAACCTGTCCAAGAATGACCTGAAAATCCTGTTCATGTAATCCATGAACACTGTCGGAGCATTAGTGACACCAAAAGGAATCACTACATACTCAGTCCTTATCGTCAACTTATTCAGTTGCCGATAATCAACACACAAACGGGCCCCACCATCCTTCTTCACTAATAGTACCGGGGCACCCCAAGGAGAAACATTGGGCCTTACCATCTATTTCTCCAACAAATTCTCGATCTGTCTCTTCAGCTCTACCAACTCAACTGAAGCCATCCTACAAGAAGCCACTGATATTGGTCCTACACCTGGTATCAGATCAATGCTAAGCTCAACATCATGCATAGGTGGCAATCCCAGCACATCATCTAGGAAACACCTTAGGAAACTCATTGACAATCTCAATCCAAGTGATGGCCCTCTTCGTCTCAACATTCAAAACGGCAAACAACATGAAGCACTCAGCTCCATCTCTCATCAACTGCTCAGCCTGACCCGCTGGCAACAACATCTCATCTTCCAACTAAGAAAATACTAACTCTCTCCGAGCACAATCTATAAGGATGTGATGGGCAGATAATCAATCCATCCTTTAGATTATGTCGATATCCACCATAGGCAACATAATCAGGTTCACCCAGAACCTCCCACCAAACACCTTTATCGGGCATCTCACACGCATCTCCGAGGTCACCACAAAATTGAAGCCGGAGTAGACACATACCAATCAACGTGCAATGTAGACACTGACAAACCCAATCTTCCCACACAATCAACAGAAAAAAAATGAATGTGTGGCACCAGAATCAAACAGGAACAAAACATCCTCACTTGCTTCCTTCCATTTCCTCTTCACCAAATCTGATGAAGTGGAAGCCTCTACACCTGATAAAGCGAAAACTCTCCCTACAGTTATAGGCCTAGGTGGCCTCAAAGCACTCCCAGATGGAGTCAATGGCATCTAACAATCTCTGGAAAGGAGGTATGGCCTGCCACATCTGAAACAAACATTCTCCGGATGGAAACAATCTCTAACCACATGTGCTCATCCACATCTATAGCATCGCACGGATGGTGCTCCACTCTAAGGAGTAGTAGGACGAGGTCCCCTAGTGACAACACCTCTCTAAGATTGAACAGGTCTGTCATAGGGTCCCCTCTGCTGGTCTCCCTTCCTGGATCCAGATGATCCCTCTTGAACTCTAGCAGCCTTGCCGCTGCTACCACCACCCTCCAATCTCTCAACAATCTTTGCCTTCTCAACCAAGGCAGGAAACTCCTCTATGGACATAAGGACTATGACCCTCTTCAGCTCATGCCTCAATCCCTCTGCAAACTTCCTACATCTCCAAGCCTCAGATATGGCCTGAGAGTAGAAACTAGCCAAATGCTCAAACCTCATAGCATACTCTGATACAGACAGGCTCCCCTACTGCAATCTCCTGAACACCGCCTCCTTAGCGTATCTAACACTATCCGAGAAATACTTCTCCAAGAAAACTCTCTTTAAGCAATCCCAATCTACAACCACACCTCTGCTCCCCATCATCTTCCTGGTGCCTCTCCACCAGTACTCAGCCTCGCCTGCCAGTATACATATTGCATAGGCCAACTTCCTTTCCTCAGAAGATCTCAAAACACTGAAGATCTTTTCCATCTCACACAACCACTAATATGCCACATCAAGATCTGAATCCCCCTTGAACTGAAGAAGCTAACATCTCCTGAACTCTGCCTGAGAGACCACCGGTCTAGCTGCCTCAACCGCAGCTCTACCCACCTCCATCTAAGCAAAGTAAGCACTTTACTATTGCATCACTATGGCCATCATCTCCATAGTTCTAGCGATATGATCAAACTGAGACCTCACCATACTAAAAGAATTCAAACATTCTTTTACTAACACTTTACCACTACAACTCACCAAAATTAACACATATCAAAGATATGACACAACAGAAACATAGAAGGAT